ATAGTGTCTTCCATCTTCACAGCTTTAAGGGGGAGCTCTTCCTTCCACAGAGAAACCTACTACCCTATCCCATACCTTCCACCCCACATCTGCACTGTGGAACACAAGATGTATTTATTTTCTGAACTCCTAATGAATACAAACAGTGCTTGTAGACACGCACATACTGAACATAGTTTATGGCATCTACGTGTTTCTGTTCTGTAGCGTTCAACGTTCCCAGGTCTTCCCACCGAGGGTTCTGGGGAAGGGACGTTGTTGCTCTGGATTCCCCACCCCATACAATCCTGTTTATGAGTACCCATACAGCAGATGTCCCAGTGGACAGATCCATCCAGTGTACAGGAGTACAGGAGCAGGATGCTGCATTATCCACTCAACTCACATACGTCCTTTCCACAGATGCGCATGAACATGGCAATAGCTTTGGGGAATCTTGATTGGTTTGTTCATATTAAGTAAGTAGAACAAAGAAGACAGTAAAAGGAGAGATAAACAAGCAAACAACTCTTTCAAATCAAACACGCATCATGATATACAAGGTTTTAGTATCTCCAGGTATACAGCGCTCTTTAATGCCAGACATAAAGGATTGGCAGGGTTTGGTTGTATTCCAGCAATTATTCCTGCCCTTATCCGGGTCTTGATTTGAAAACTGTGTTTTGCAAGGCTGAGCTCAGTTTGGAAAATTCTGTCAGAGCAGTGATCCTTAGGAGGACTGGGGAAATGGCTCCGGCATCACCCCACTGTACCCACTGTTCCCACTAGTAATCCTTGCCAGGAAGAGCCACTGTCACTGATGGGTGTAAACGATGCCAGTCTCGTACCTGGACGCACTGAAGGTGCAACAGAAGTGGGTTCACCATTTGCAGAGCTGCGTTCACTCTCTGACCACACTCACTAAAGAGATAGCGTTGTTTCCTGTGAACAGTGTGTGTGGAACCATCTCAGAGCCTCCAGATGAGTTCTTAGGACTACACAAGAACAACGAATTCCCAAGACAGTAGCGCTGGGCTTCCCAGCTGTGCTGTGTGGGTTGCGGGAACAGGGGCCAGCAGAGCAGACGACCCAGGCCTCTGTGCACCTCACCCTTTAGCTTTCCTATAGTGTGGTTTTGCATAGAGCTCATTTGAAACATGAACTCTCTGTTGGTTTTCTCTCTCAGGAACCCTGTCAGTAGTTTAGTATTCAACGCTCTCATTTATCCCCTCTACTGAGACCATCTGTTTAAATCATCCTTTTTAGAATATTGTTTTCCAGAATTAGCATTTTTAAAAAAAAAACAATTCATTCCTATTTTGATCATCATTTAATTTCTTCCCCCATGAGTCCTCACAGATGTTAGAATGAGCAATCATAACTTAGGCTTTTTCATTACTGTGAGGCATAAATTGTCTGGGCCTGGGAATTGGCACATAAAGGCCCTGAGTGCTCTTCCACGGTGCCACTCCCTCCTATTTGTGCAGATCCTTCCTGGCACACTGCTCTCCCATCCCTGGCTTGAGCATCACTCTCTGCTAGGACATTATGAATTCAGGAACGCAAGTAAATAATTCTGCTTTATATCTCACCTGCCTTTCATCCTATCCTTCCGTCTCCCTTTTACTTCGACAGTGTGCATGTATGTTTTAGTGCATCTATTATGCTGTGTCATGTTTATTACATTCTTTTCCCCTAGCTGACTTGAAGGTTTTAGATGAAAAAACTTCTGTCCATTCTAACGCCGCCACATTGACTGTAGTAACTGGCAACGATAGCATAGTGATTAAAAAAAAATCTATTCCTTTATTAAAACAAGTTTATTAACCAGTTATATGAGACGATGCATTATCAAGGTGCCAGGAGTAGAGGAGATGAAGACAGAGGCTTTGCTCACTATGTATACATAGTATGATAGGAGAAACATATATGACATCAACCAGCAAAACTAATGTAGTATGACTGAATTAGGGAACAGACTGCATTGGTTAGAGGCAACCCAGAATAAATGATGAAGCTGAGAAAATCAGGACCGACCACATTAGGTCACCCACCTTTGGCCAGTTTCTCCTAATAGGGCCCACATCAGATAGACCACCTCCACATGCAAAATATACAGACCCTCCCCTCCCCCCCAGGCTCTGTTTTCTTCTGTATTCTTTTTTTCTCTGTCTGGTTCATATCCTGTTTCTGAAGGAGCGAATCTAAAGGAAGCATGGACCATGTTTTGTTTTCTGGCTTACTTTTGTACTGAGGTCAACTCTTTGATCATAGCTGTTAGCCAATGATCTCATGCCTGCTTGTTTGTTGTTGTTAGTTAGTTTGTTTAGTTTGTTTTTAAACTCTTCTGTAAACATATTCTAACATTACTCTAAAAGATTTTCTCTCTAAACTAGTCTTGACCATCTGGAAAGATTTTGGAGTCGAATAACCCCCCAGGTTGATTGTGAATAACATCAGTCATTCAACTAGACTTGGACAAACCACTTTTTACAAGCACCAATTGTCCCAAGTATAAAATAATTACTATGTTGTCCGTGAATTGAGATAATTATGAAATTCCATATTTGATGCTGAACATGCAGCAGCTCAGCTCACTCTCAGGAGCAGCATCCTTAATATGCTGGACGGCAGTTGGTGCTGTAGAATAGGAATTTTCAGTCATCTTCCCACTGTAATCTTCATGTGTTAGTGATTTTCTAAGGACGAGAACATTCTATTGCTAGACAAAGCATTTAGGTGCTTTATTGAAGTGATCTTATTTTTCGGTTTTCTTTTTAACATTTGAATTCATCCATATTTTCATCATTTCTTCTCACCATACCCATTTTGCATTGAATCGGTGGTTTGGTGTGCTCGCTGACACCAATAATTTTAACCGTACATTTCCTAGAGCACAGTGCATTCATTAACCTACATATTGTCCAGCTTATTGGAATCATGGACTCAACCCATGTCTTGGTTATAAACAGTGAAATTGAATGGAAATAAATGGCAATTAAAGGTGAAGATTCCCCTACTGCCTTAGACGTGATGAGTAATCGTCCTGTAATTTGATATGATGATTTTTCTCTTACATTATATATTTTTTAATTTGTATGTATTTATCTGCATCATACTGCCTGGACCATAAAATGCATTGGCAGTAAGTAGACTATATCTGCTTTTGGAATGAGGTAAAATAAAGTTGAAAGGCTGCTGCTGATTGTACACCCATGCATGTACATGCAGAAGTGAATGGGCTTAGTGGGTTTAAGAGAAAAAGGCAGAAGGATTACATCAAGTTGGAAAGGGAAAGGTCTCAAGATAGAGAAGGAATTGGAGAGGCAAGGATGGTGATGGATATGTTCAAAACCTATTATATACACGGAAATATCAATAATTTTAAATCATCAATATGAAACTCTCAATAATAAAAAAAAAGTAAGCTGTGGGGAAACAAAAATTTAAATCAACAATTAAGATGGAAGAAAAAAAGAAATTGAATGTTATTTTTTCTCTGAGCACCCTGAATTTGACTCAAAGATTGTAAAACCACCCTCTGATTCTCACGCTACTGTGTCATGTGTCTCTGGTGTGTCTCGATGTGCAAAATGACCTCCTGAAATGACTTACTAATACCAATCAGTGGGTCCACATTTGTAAAATTGAAATGCTTGGATTCTATCATTCTATTATTCTAAGGCAGGGTGTAGTGCTTTTATTCCCACAGTGAGTGTGAACGCATTTACACAGTTGCTCAAGAGGAAAGTCCCATGCTCACAGTTGTCAGTGACAGAACTCAGGCCACGTTTTACAGTACAAGCAGTATGAACTTTGCAGTGTATCTTGTGGTACACTTATTATTTTTAGTGTTGTTCTGCAGTACAGAGTTGGACAATGCAAGTCTGCTGTCCAATAATAACTATTTCCCCCTAATTATGGACTCCTTCTATAAAGATGAGAGCAAAATGCCTCATGTCTCTAGAGTATTTTCACTGTCTAATGGATGAGTTGTCAAGATCATCAGGCATAGTAATCGCCATAATTAATGAAATTTGGAAGGCAATAAATTAAATAATTAAAAATACCTTTCATATTTAGAACTCACATGGTTTATTTCTTATGAAGTTTCTGCTTTTGTTACTGGGCTGCCGCCGCCCCCCCCCCACACACACAATATCTTGCTCATGATTGAGGAAAACTTCTAAATGTTTTGTATGTAGGAAACACTCGGTATTTTTATAATAATAGCAAATGAAATATATACGCAAGGCTTACTGGTGGATGAGATTAATATAGAAAAGAAATATAAGTAGGCACAGCCATCTTGAGTAGCCAAGGAAAGAGTGCGCACAAGAGCTGTTGCGTGGATGGCAAACCTTTGGTCTGGGATTTGCACACACTCCTGTGAGAACCCGGTTTATTGTCTCAGTGGCGGACTGATGAGTCCTTGCCAGCACTAATCTATGTCCTTGTTCTACTGAGAGCATGCTGACCTGGCTCATTATGTCTATCAAGCGTCTCTTCTTGGAGTGTTCTGGGTAATAACCGGTGTTTGTGACCCAGGCAGCACAGTGCAACCCTGGGTCCTGAACGTGCACTTTGCTGGGGCCTGGAAGACAGACATCTTATTCCAAGGACATGATGTTTGCTGAGTAAGGTAGTCATGGCTCCCACTGAGATGCTGTCAGCTCTGATGCAGGGCACATTTCCTCTGATATCAGAGATGTCACCATGAGCTGAGTGTAAAGACAGCTTACAGGCAGCGCTGTCTTGTAACCTCTGCTCGGTTCACACTCTGGCCTCTCAAGCTGTAACTGCTGTCACTGACGTAAGGAGGTGAAGAGTTGCATTCAGCCATTGTCTGTGAGCAGAGCTTTTTAAAAAGCCAACTGTTTTGACATCGCTGTTCCCTTTCCTCTGACTTCTGTGGTTGCAGACTCGGTGCGCGACAGCTCAGCTCATCCTCACCCACACTGAAGTGGGGATTTTGGCTTCTGCCCAAATGACATCCTTGTTTTACTTCCTTCTGCCCCCAGATGACGAAGAATGGCACAGTGGAGTCTGAAGAAGCGAGCACTCTGACAGTCGATGACATTTCCGACGACGATATTGATTTAGACAACACAGAAGTAGACGAATACTTCTTCCTACAACCCCTGCCCACAAAAAAACGGAGAGCCCTGCTGCGTGCCTCTGGAGTGAAGAAGATTGACGTGGAAGAAAAACACGAGCTGCGAGCCATCCGCCTGTCTCGGGAAGACTGTGGCTGCGACTGCAGAGTGTTCTGTGATCCGGAAACATGTACCTGCAGCCTGGCAGGCATTAAGTGTCAGGTAAGGATTGGCATTTCAGAGCATCTGAAGAAGCGATGTCCCATGTTGGGTATATTGGTTTTTTTTTTTTCTTTAACCTGGAGAAGAATTGGGCTGGGGAGGAAAGACACATAATTCAAGGGCAAAAAAAAAAAAAAAAAAAAAAAAAATTCAAGGGCATTCATAAAACTCTCATTCATACTGTGTATAATGTAAATGGAAACTCAAACTTCAGCTGAGTTTGTTGAGGCATTTCCTCCCAGATTCTTTAACCTGGAGAAGAATTGGGCTGGGGAGGAAAGACACATAATTCAAGGGCAAAAAAAAAAAAAAAAAAAAAAAACAATTCAAGGGCATTCATAAAACTCTCATGCATACTGTGTATAATGTAAATGGAAACTCAAACTTCAGCTGAGTTTGTTGAGGCATTTCCTCCCAGATTCTGTCGTTAGTTACATCAGCTTATGTTAGCTTTTTTCTTACATGGGAGAGGACACCATCTTCTCCACTTGAATGCGTACTTTCTGGTCCATACATGGGATATAAAGTAATAATTCATCACCAGTGATATGGACTGCTGGAGAAGTCCCTGGTCAGACAGACCTTAACAGACTAAACTGCATTCTTCCCTTGTCTGGAGTAGGGTTTCCTAGGGAACCCTGAGCTCAGTGTCATTTCTACATTGAACAGGTTGAGATGCTGTCAAACTCACAGTGGAACCTCTGTGAACACACTTCTGTAAACAAGGTTTACTGGGGCCCAGCCCTGTGTTTATCCGTTACTTGTGATCAGTTTTATTCTTCAAAGTACTGAGACGACATAACTGCAAAACCCCAAATGGTCTCATGCGTATTCAATGAAAAAGCTACCATGCACAACATTGACTCAGGACTGCTAAGGTTTCCTTAACAAGAACAGATGTCTGTCTTATTGTGACACCAAGATTGGCTTGAGGAATGTGAGGAACAAGTGAGCAAGAGAGGACTTTTGCTCTCTGGGAATATCCTCCTGAACAGTGAAAAGTCTGTCTCGTTCCACAGAGCCTCAGACTTGACTTATGTGAACAATAGTGGGAAACAGCCTCATGAGCCTCACCTGCTGATTTCACTGTTTAAAACCTCAAAGTTAAGCCTGATGAAAAAATAAAAAAGCAATAGCTTACCAATTTCTGGTCAAGGTGATTCTCTGCTCCTGTCCACCTACATTTCAGTGGAGCCCTGTGATTGTGTACTTGCTCTTACTTAATGCAGGAATAGCTTTATTCGTTTATGTAAGCAGCTGAGAGCAAAGGACTGTTTTCTTCCACTCAGCTGATGAAGACACATTTGCCTTTTCCATTCCCTCCCTCGGTTTCCTTTCTCTGTTGAGTATGGTGCCTCGCAGACACAATCGGCGAGTGCTCTACCCCTACTAAGCATATATTTGAAAACTATATTCTTGCAAGAAAGGGTTTTACTAAGTTGCCTGGGCTGCTCTTCAGCTTACAGGCCTTCCGATTCCCTGCTGTTGCATTTATTGGCACAAGGTAAATCCATCTGAGTTGGGCTTCTAGTCTTAAGTGAGAAGCAGGTCAAGGGATGTGCATCCATGTGTCAAGGGTGTATTCTGACTTTCCGTTGGGCATCCAGCTCACAGACAACATCACAGAGATCTATTATTCATTACGAAATCTTGGTCTTAGCTTTAGCTTTGTCTAACTAGCGCTTATAACTTAACTAACCCATATTTTTAAATTCGTGTGGTCCAGTTACCGCTCCTCAGGACAGCATGTCCAACTTGCTCCAAGTTTGCTGGCAGGTCCCGCACACATAGATTCCTCCTCCTCTTCCTCTCTCTCCTTGGCAGTCCTGCCCATTCTCTCCTGCCTAGCTATTGACCATTTGGCTTTTTATTACACCATTCACAGCAACACATCTTCACACAGTGCACAAATAGTCTGCAACACAAGGACCCGTTGAGAAGACAAAGCAGTGAGACTATAGCAGGGTGGCATTGTGTGGCCCCGGGTAGTGTCATCCCAGATACCTGGAGTAGTGAAGGTCATCTCGTTAGATGCAAAGGAACGAACGTAGTGGCTTGGCGGTCCTGTCATGGATGTTAAATTAGACTAGCAGCCTAAAGAAGAACAGTCTATGTGTTACTTAAAAGTGGGTGGACACGTTGGAATGCAACGGAAGGGAACCAGGGCTGTGAAATGGGAACAAAAAGAAATGGAAAAAGAGAAGGAAAAAAAAGTAGAGAGTGGAAAATAAGAAAGCCCTGGAGGACGCAATGGAATTTAAATTCTCACTTATACCCTCAGCCCACCGCTCTTTTAAACATGCATTTAAAACCCGCTCATTGAAAAGTCTTCACTCTCCCTGCTCATTTTTTGCTTGCAGCTTATTCATCATCGGCTGTGGCACAAGCAGAGCTCGAGTGCATTACCTAATTCAGAGGAGTTGTTAGAAAGCCCTTGATTTTATTTGGTCTGTAATAATTCCATGGCGCTAATCCCTGTTCTTCCTCCCAAGGTGGATCGTATGTCTTTCCCGTGCGGCTGCACTAAAGAAGGCTGTAGCAACACAGCAGGTAGAATTGAATTTAATCCTATCCGTGTCCGGACTCATTTCTTGCACACAATCATGAAACTTGAACTCGAGAAAAATCGTGAGCAGCAAATCCCCACGCTGAACGGCTGCCACGGTGAGATAAGCCCCCACGGTACTTCCATGGGCCCCGTCGCACACTCGGTAGAATACTCCATCGCAGACAATTTCGAGATCGAAACGGAACCCCAGGCTGCCGTGCTGCACCTGCAGGAGGAGCTGGATTGCCACGGAGAGGAGGAGGAAGAGGAGGAGGATGGAAGCAGCTTCTGCAGCGGAGTCACTGACTCCAGCACACAAAGCCTGGCCCCCAGTGAATCGGATGAGGAAGAAGAGGAGGAGGAGGAGGAAGAGGAAGAGGAGGAAGAAGATGACGATGAGGACAAGGGAGACGGCTTTGTAGAAGGGCTGGGAGCCCATGCCGAAGTCGTCCCTCTTCCTTCTGTTCTTTGTTACTCAGATGGCACCGCAGTTCATGAAAGCCACACAAAGAACGCTTCGTTCTACGCTAGCTCTTCAACCCTGTACTACCAAATAGATAGCCACATCCCAGGAACTCCTAGCCAGATCTCTGACAGCTATTCGGAAAGAGATACTGTCAAAAACGGTGCCCTGTCGTTGGTGCCTTACGCCATGACCCCAGAGCGATTCGTTGACTATGCCAGACAAGCGGAAGAGGCCTACGGGGCCTCCCACTACCCAGCTGCCAACCCTTCTGTCATTGTTTGCTGCCCCACTTCTGAAAATGATAGTGGGGTGCCCTGTAACACCTTATACCCCGAACACAGGCCCAGTCTTCCCCAAGTGGAATTTCACTCATACTTGAAAGGCCCTTCCCAGGAAGGGTTCGTCTCCGCGTTGAACGGCGGGGACGGCCACATTTCCGAGAATCCAGCGGAGAATTCTCTGAGCCTTGCCGAAAAGAGCCGCCTACACGAGGAGTGCATTAGGTCCCCCGTGGTGGAGACGGTCCCCGTTTAGTTGCTTAGATTATTCTGTTAGAGCACCGAGTCTTCTATTTAAGGCACTGTATTGCATTTCCTGGGCTCGTTTGTTTAACCGGAAGACCAAGAAAATGTGGACTGTGATGACCTCCAGACACCATTTCTTTTTCTCCTTCCTAGCTTCCCAACTCTGGCGTGACACAAATAAAACACAGTCGCTATGGGGATTTTAAACGATTTTGAACTGTTTTTGATAGAAAAATGCTGAATTTAAAAAAAAAAAAAACGCATCTCTCACAGTTGCCTACCTTTCAAACTGGGCGAAACCTGCTGAGCTGTGCAGACCATAGCTCCACGTCTTAGATTGTCGGGCCTGTGCAAGATTGTTAACTAAGACTAGAAAAATAATCAGATTTAAAGACCTAATTTTCGATATATCTGAAGATGGTGGTGACTTTTTCATGTAAAAGTAATGATTGTCAGAAAAAAAAAAAAGATTGAATCGTTTCTTGTGTATTTTCTTTCTGGTAGTTTAGAAGTCACGCTTTGAAGAAAATGAACAGTGGGCTCACTGAAGCTGCCGTTGCGTTAGCTAGCACCACAGAGCATGCCCACGAGGACTGCACCTGGAATCCGCCCACGTTTTTATGATCCTGACTAAGCAGATTTGCAGATACTTTCTTAAGGATGACATAGGCCTATTTTTGCTATGTGGGACAAATGAGTCTATATGTATATATGCGCAGGTCCTTCCGCAGTTCTCTCTAAAGTTCAGAGTCAGGACAATCCTCTGGTGAGGGTCCAGTTCGCTGCCCTCCCCTCGGCCGAGAGAGATGGAATTGCCTTTCTTTTTTAAACAGTGTCATCTTGTTTATTAGCTTTGACTGCACCTTTAAACTCCACCCCCCTCCGTCAAAATGCACTTTAGTGCCCCTTCCCGGTACCTCGCGTGGGGTGGGGGTCTCAGAACGCTTTGAAATCAAAACTTTTTACTCATAAAACAGTCGACTATTATGAGGATCATATAAACAGGTAGAGGATCCTTCCAGTGGCGTGAAGGAAAATGGCCTGTTTTTCTTCACCGCTCCGAGGACCTAACTCCGTAACACAGAGGAGGCTGGGGGAAAAAAAAAACCAGACGAGCACAGCCTCAGAAACCAATCTATTCTACACCGTGATCAACCCATCTCTACAAAAGCAAAACCATGTCATGAGACTTCCACTTAGCCGCTAGCTGATTGAAGGCAGGCCTGCACTCACGCACTCATGAGGCCTGACTTTCCTGAAGCGTTTTTTCTTGGTCTTGCCGAGGACAGTTAGTCCCACAGTCCATAATGCATTGCAAAGGCAGCAACCTCGTGTTCTCTTGCTTAGTAAAGAGAAAGCATAGAAAAGAAACACACACTCACGTTCTCCTGCTTAGTAAAGACAAAGGACACATGCCCTGCCTTCCACTGGATTGCCTGCTTGGTGCCCGGGAGGACTCTGAGCAACCTCTTTTCCTGTGAGCTCACATAACTATAGCACAAGCGCCAGCGTCCCCCCAACGCAATGATTATGCTGAGCCCATTTCCCAGCTTTGACATCCTATTGCTTTGACATCATTTTACGTGTTTTACGACTATTTAAGATGGAGACATGCCCTGCTATGTAGTAGCTACATCCCTAATGTTTTCTATGCCTCCTAGACTTGGGCATTTTGATATCTTACAGATTTCAATTCCTCATAACTTATTTCATTTGCCCAGATGTCGATGGGCTTTGGAGTCCTCCCGTGAGACGTTTCTCTTTAAACTTGATATGGTGAAAGGGTGTTTGCTTATGGAGTTGGTTCCTGCCCACCTCTCCAACTCCTCAAGGCCAAACCAACCCTAATTATTACTGACATTAGAAAGTCGTAGTGGGGGCAGGCGGTTTCTTGTGTTGGATTGGTGGGGCTGCTGGGATGGACGCATGCTCTGACTGTGCTCGTATGACCAGAGTTACCTGTAGTGTTGCCTTTCGTAGTGTTTGATCTCTAGCCTCCCTGACCCCCGCCTACGCAATCTAAAGAGCAGGGACTCAGAGGAAATGACAATAGGCTATTGTTGTTTGTTCAAACATGGAAGGAATCCCATGTTCCGTGTGTGCTTGACCATTCCAACCACTGGAGGTATGGACTGGTGAGGCACTCTCGGGCTGTTTTAGGACAGAGAGCAGGGAGGCACAGGGCAACCCTGACTAGGGTGGAGTTGAGGGGGGTCATGGCAGTCCAATCCCTCAACCCTTAGATATACATATTTCAGTCCAGCTTTGTTTTTACAAGACTTGGGTCCTGCCTTTGTGTATTTGGCTGGGCTTCTCTTCTGCAGCTTTATTTTTAAGTGTCCCAAAAGGACACTTCAAACACAGAACTGCCTTCCTCTCTCTATTCAGTGGGGATAGAAAGTCTCACTCTGCTAAGGATAATCACCTTTCGAAGCATGAGAGCCGCCATTCCAATATTTCACATACCTAAGTCATCCACAGACATCTCTTGCAAATCATACTAGGTACAGGCTACCTATTTTAACAACAAATAAAACTCTACATACTTTTATCTGTGCTGCACACACACACAGAACACACATGTCCCATACCCTAGAGTGGGACAGATTTGAGCCAGTAGCTAGTAAGGAGTACCGGATAGTTTGTTCCTACAGAACCATCAGGTTGCAGTTGATATAAAAATACAGAAGAAAAATTTGAAAGCAATTGATAGAAAATACTGGGTTAAAGTTACAAATAATACTAGTGAGGAATTATCTCCTGTGTCTTCCTTTCCCAGTAAAAGTTGAGAATACAATGATTCTTCTGGATCATTTTTCCCATTAATAGACTTTGTCTTTGATAAAAACTGCCCCCGTGTGAGGCCAGTGCTAGAGTTCTTTCTGTTTCCCTAGGGGAGAATACAGCTGTGTCGAGCCTCTTTAAGTCTTTGCACTGAGGCACAATGATAAGACCTACAGCTGTTGCATTGCATGGTGTATCTAACCAATCAGAGTCTGTGTGCACGGCTCCCAAGCCATGCATTATCAATGGCAAAGCCCAATGCTGCAGACCCTATTGTTTGTCATTGATAAAAAGAAATCAAAGGCCATTTTAAGTTCCCCCCATCAATTATTTAAAATACAATTGTCTCTTTTCTTTTAGTAGTATTGAAGAATAGACTTTTTTGAAAACCAGTCTTTGTGAGGGAATCACGTTTTTCTGATCATGTCATGCCAAGCACATATACAATATCCAACATTTCCTCAAGGGATGAAATTTGTGTAATCATATGACCCAGCAGTACCATCTCCCCTGGCATGCTCTTACACAAATACAACATCTTATAGCATCAGCTATAGAAATGTGCCACAATTCTCAAGGCACGCAGAGGTTATACTGATTACCTTCTAGGCAAAATTTTGATTAAGATTTCATTAAACACGAAATGTACCATAATTTATTTCCTAATCGGTACCTCACTTTTTAATTGTTACCTTGTACAAGTTCTTAAGGACTTAGTGTTGATCCTCAGAATGTGTTCAATATCTGCTTATTTTTCGCTTTTAACAAATATTTATTGAATACCTCCGATGTTGTAACAGCTGACTTGGCAGCAAAAACAGCAGGGGAACTGGCAATTTGGAAGGGTGAGGACAACAGAGGGTAGCATGAGGTAGTCAAGCCTGGCCAGATCCTTTGACATGGAATCCTCCAGTGTCCCATGGGAAACATCGTCACCAGCTCTTCTCATTCAGCCCAAAAGGCTTCTAAAAGGAGCTGCTTTTCTCTCTAGTCATGGAGCTTACTACATCCTCCTGAAACTTGGGAAGTAAATTTGGATTCAGGGAGAAGATATTCAGAGAGTTGTTTCTTGGATGCAGAGCTAGCTAAGGAAATGTCGGCTGTATGCCAGTAAAGTCCCAGCAGATTTGATTCCTACAGAACCCAGAGAAGGACCTCTTACTCATTTTATAAACGGATGATTTAAATGGTAGAACCCTGTGCCAAAAGCATTGCCTAGAAGCAGGTAGAAAATGAGGGAGGTCAGCTGTGGCTACAGTCCAGTGCAGTTTACGGTCACTGTCGTCGACATAGAAGACGGCAATTGTAAGTGGGAGCACCTTTATGCTTCCACGGTCAGAACGACTGTAATGTGAAATTGTAACTATTTGTTGTATTGTGGCCATGGCCAATACCCAAAGTGCAAGGCTGGCTCCCTTTTTTACTCCTAATGTGAGCCTGAATTTTCTTGTATCCTTTCCCAAGAACCGTGAGCTTGTGCTGGAAGCGCCCAGCTGTCCCGACTTCGCACCAGCTCTTTGGCTCATCAGCCATGCTCTGTGGCAGGACGGAATTGAACGGACTGAGAACCACGGTTTGAAGGCTCACTACAGTTTTGAAAGGGACAGGATAGGGGTTCCGACGGAATGTGAGTTTGGAACTGACAGTGTCTGCTAAGAACTGTCGATACATTTGTCTCCGGAGAGTTGGGCCAGGGTTAGTGAACTCGAGAGTCATAAGTGGTAGGCCCTCCAAAACCAGGGAAGTCACTGCTGATGCTGCTGACCTCAGAGCCCAGTTGGTAGTCCCATTCGCTGGCCAGCATCCAAAGCAGTCGTGGTTCATCCTCTAAAACAGAACACCGACCTCCAGCCATCCGAAGAAAGTCTCTAAACACACATGCACGCACGCACACTAAATGTTAAATGATTAAACAGCTAACGTTATTGACAAAAGTGAGGTTTATTTGGAACCTTAGCAAACGTGGCTCTGAATCAGTCTTTCGTAAGCTTTGCCAGTTCCTTCCGTGCCAGTACATCTCAAGCCAGACTAGGAGACCCAATGTCTTCTAAACAGCATGGGTGTCTCTCTCTTTTGTTGCTCGCCAGAAACTTAAACCTGAAAGCTTGGTACTGCCTGGGTGTTCTGGTAGTCCGTCGTAGGGCAAGTCTAACTGTATGCTCTTGTCTGCCGTGGGGTCATAGAAAGTCAGATAAAGTGTGGACCCCGAGGAGAGAGTAGCAATGAGCTCCCGAGCCCAAAACCAGTATCTTTGTCAGCATTGTGTTTACGGGATTTTTAAAAAAAATTTCTCCTTAGGAGCTGGAACGTTAGTGCGTGCAGGGATTTGTTACGTGTGGGAATAGAAATCACCCCGAAGGTTTTACGTCCTGCCAGTTGCTGTTTTCTTTCCTTCCCACTGGCCTTCGCTTTGCAGGACTACTGCTTGGCATCTGACCCTTCATGCTTGCTTACATTTTAAGAAAAGACAGTTTTATTGTTATTTTACTCCATCTCTCACAGAAGCTGGCAGGACCAGCCTTGTCAGGGAGGATGACCTAGGTCATTTTAAGCAGCCTTCCTGCTCAGCAGGCTTGCTGCAGTTCCCCCAGACTCCCTCATTAGCATACTGATAGCTTAGTCAGTTCAAAATGAAGTTTTCTTCACGTGTGCAAGGTCGTCTACGTATTTTTAAGGATAATGTATATTGATTAGAAAGGTCTATGAGGAGATAAATTGGGTAGAAATCAGCCTTGCTTTTGTCAAAATTGGTTTACATGACTATTGATTTCTAGTTGGAGTATTAAATTAGCTTCACAGTTAAATGTCTTATTTCTTTTTAACTCTTTCCATTTTTTTTATTTTATTTTGGTCTGGCTTGTAATGAACCTGAAAGTTATATATTAATGAGTTCTTGGAAGAAAACTGAACTTTTAAGGTGTTTCTTTAAAGATTATCTAGAAAATTCTATCTATACCAAGCCTTACTGAGTAGGAAATGAGACTCCTTACCCTCCTGTCTGAGTCATGTGCCCCTAAAGAGTTTGATTCTTACCACTCTGCTGGAGAGATATCAAGAGGGAATTTGTAGCACATTTTATCCAGTATTGCTTTGCTCTTTTTCATGTTAAACACCCATTTTTCCTCCCTTTTCTTAGAAATGCTATCAGTATTGAAAACAAATTCAAAGACCTATGTAAATTATGAAAGTATTTAAATATGAAGAAGAGAAAATGCTCAATTTTAAATCTGAATTGCCCTAAAGAGGAAAAAAAATATCTAAAACTTGGGAATATATTGTTGCCCTTAAAAAAAATAGTGTTTGTACTTGAGTACTGAAATGGTACCCAAGTGATATCTGGGCTTGATAGATTTTAAATTTTAATAGCTAGAAAAGTCATCTTGGTTTTCTTTTTTTTTTCTTTTTTCTTTTTCTTTTTCTTTTTTT